ACTTTTTTTAAGAATGTGAAACCTTCTCGGGGGTCCCAACTGTCAATTTTTAAAATGTAAAACCTTCTCGGGGGTCCCAACAATCCTCAATAACAATTTAAAATCTTCCGGGGGGTCCCAACCGTCTATTTTAAAAATGTATAACATTCTCGGGGTCCCAATTAACATTTTTTAAAATGTAAAACCTTCTCGGGGGCCCTAAAGACTTTTTTAAGAATGTGAAACCTTCTCGGGGGTCCCAACTGTCAATTTTAAAAATATAAAACCTTCTCGGGGGTGCCAACAATCTTTAATAAAAATTTAAAATCTTCTCGGGGGCCCTAAATGTCTTTTTTATGTGAAACTTTCGGGGATCCCAACTGTCATTTTTATAAATGTAAAACCTTCTGGCAGACCCCCAATGACTTTTTTTAAGAATGTGAAAACCTCTCGGGGGTCCTAATTGTCTTTTTTAAAAATATAAAGCCTTCTCGGGCGCCCCAAATAACTTTTTTTAAGAATGTGAAAGCTTCTCGGGGGTCCCAACTGTCAATTTTTAAAATGTAAAACCTTCTCGGGGGTCCCAACAATCTTCAATAAAAATTTAAAATCTTCTCACGGGTTCCAACCGTCTATTTTAAAAATGCATAACATTCTCGGGGTCCCAATTAACATTTTTTAAAATGTAAAACCTTCTCGGCGGCCCTAAATGACTTTTTTAAGAATGTGAAACCTTCTCGGGGGTCCCAACTGTCAATTTTAAAAATATAAAACCTTCTCGGGGGTACCAACAATCTTTAATAAAAATTTAAAATCTTCCCTGGGGTCCCAACCGTCTATTTTAAAAATGTAAAACCTTCTCGGGGGCCCTAAATGTCTTTTTTTATGTGAAACTTTCGGGGATCCCAACTGTCATTTTTATAAATGTAAAACCTTCTCGCAGACCCCCAATGACTTTTTTTAAGAATGTGAAAACCTCTCGGGGGTCCTAATTGTCTTTTTTAAAAATATAAAGCCTTCTCGGGCGCCCCAAATAACTTTTTTTAAGAATGTGAAACCTTCTCGGGGGTCCCAACTGTCAATTTTTAAAATGTAAAACCTTCTCGGGGGTCCCAACAATCCTCAATAACAATTTAAAATCTTCCCGGGGGTCCCAACCGTCTATTTTAAAAATGTATAACATTCTCGGGGTCCCAATTAACATTTTTTAAAATGTAAAACCTTCTCGGGGGCCCTAAAGACTTTTTTAAGAATGTGAAACCTTCTCGGGGGTCCCAACTGTCAATTTTAAAAATATAAAACCTTCTCGGGGGTGCCAACAATCTTTAATAAAAATTTAAAATCTTCTCAGGGGCCCTAAATGTCTTTTTTATGTGAAACTTTCGGGGATCCCAACTGTCATTTTTATAAATGTAAAACCTTCTGGCAGACCCCCAATGACTTTTTTTAAGAATGTGAAAACCTCTCGGGGGTCCTAATTGTCTTTTTTAAAAATATAAAGCCTTCTCGGGCGCCCCAAATAACTTTTTTTAAGAATGTGAAAGCTTCTCGGGGGTCCCAACTGTCAATTTTTAAAATGTAAAACCTTCTCGGGGGTCCCAACAATCTTCAATAAAAATTTAAAATCTTCTCACGGGTTCCAACCGTCTATTTTAAAAATGCATAACATTCTCGGGGTCCCAATTAACATTTTTTAAAATGTAAAACCTTCTCGGCGGCCCTAAATGACTTTTTTAAGAATGTGAAACCTTCTCGGGGGTCCCAACTGTCAATTTTAAAAATGTAAAACCTTCTCGGGGGTCCCAACAATCTTTAATAAAAATTTAAAATCTTCCCGGGGGTCCCAACCGTCTATTTTAAAAATGTATAATCTTCTCGGGGTCCCAATTAACATTTTTTAAAAATGTAAAACCTTCTCGGGGGCTCTAAATGACTTTTTTTAAGAATGTGAAACTTTCTCGAGGGCGCCAAATGTCTTTTTGTAAGAATGTGAAACCTTTAATGAAAAAAAGAGTGCATCGACTCAGGGACGCAAAGTTGGGGTTGTCAATCTATATAAATTAAACACGTATACTTGGCGAAGTCATTAATTTTCTCTTAAAAAAATAATAAAAACCAGAGATATGTCGCATTTTTATTTTTTGGACAAAATGATGATTAATGATGATGACTGGGTAAATTAAAGTAAATATCCACGTATTGTCAATTGTTGTTTATTATAAAACATACTTTTTTTATTTATTTATCATATAGAAATATCATAATTAATTACATTAATAATAGTAGTAGTAGTAGTAGTTCTGAAATGAGTAATAAAGCCTGTGAAAACGGCATTAATTGTTGTACCTAATTTAGTCGTTAGAACAGTCAAACGAACACATTTTATTAAAAAGTTGTAACATAGACCGTAGCGCCTTCTCGATCACGTCCACGCTACTCTCGCGCTCCCACTCCACTCGGCCCAACCTCGCTCGAGTTGCTAGTTACTACCGCTACGAACAGAAGGCGCTGCCCGTCAACGCCTACGCACACTAATCGCCTCACCGCAATACACCTGGATGCCAGAATAATTGCTCAAGCAATTTCTGCACTCTGTTCCGAGAGTTTTCTGTGCATCACTTCTGCATCCTGAGGGTCGTTGTGGTCTAGATACTCTTTGAATTTTGTCAGTGGATGCAGGTTGTGTTCTCTTAGAGCATCCTGGGGGTCCTAAGAGACGGAATCAGCACCACTCTCTGAGCCGTTTCATGTACATATTGCTTGATAGTTTATTTCTCTCTCTCTTTTTCTATAGTGCAGCGTTACATGCCAATGTTCAGACTCAGTTCAGACCGGTGTCGGTGACCTCGACACCCACACCGACACCGAGTTTGAGCTCGTAGCTCGAACTCGACATCCTATTCCGGCGCGCGTCGTATGCGTGTTCTATAAAAGAAAGAAGTCAAAACTCCAAAATTAAAAAGTATTTGTGGGACTGCACTTCAGAAATTCGCTTGAAATAACTTTCTACCAATTTTTTAAATAAGAATGTTAAATTTTCTCAATAGAAAAAATACAATTTTTTAATTACAGAATTCACATAGCATAACACAATGTAAAAACACTGGATGATTCTATTCAAAATCCCCGATGAGATCATTTCGTCGCGAAAAGTTTATAAACAATAAAATTAGTATAAAACGAAACTTTTTGTTCGTCTGTTGCTCCCTATTTATTTTTATTTTTTCTTTCAAACATTTCAAGTTTAATAAAATCGTTGTGACGAAAGTGCTTTACGACATCATTACTCAGTAGAAGAAAAACACTACACGTATCCGAGACAAAACAAACGTACAAACCTGTTTAATTTGTTTACAGATTAACACAACTGCTAAGACCCGGCGGTCGGTCAAATTATTCATTTCAAAGAAGATTTTTACCTCTTTAACATAACTCGGTCCCCGCTTTACGTCCTACACAAATTTTGATGGTTCATTTTCTCACCCTCGCCCCTAATTAAAACTTTAAGCATCAAAATAAAAACACAGTTCGCCAGCCCCCCGAGCTTCTTTATTATAAAAACAATTAAGTCGAAATGATATTAAAATCAGCGAAATGCCATACGAAAGGCACGTGATGTTGTATATAACTCACCGGCAGCTGTAATGAAAAACGCAATTATAATAAAGGTACACGGAGAGAAATTTGCATGATTACTCGGTGGCTTAAAGAGTGTTTTAAAAGTTGGACTACAATACAATTTGCATAACAAGAAGGGCGTTCTACTTACAGCCACTTTCGTTTATGTCTCTCTAGCCACTTGAACCTTAAAGATATGGCAAATTGTATCGTAATTTAACGGCGATTTTTGGCTAAAAGTAGATTACAAATTAGTCCATGCATATTTACTGTGCTTTTAGACTTAAGACAGAAGACCTTTTAGAAAGAATGCATATTTATGAGTTTCTGCCAGTTTTATTATTTTCACTCAAGGAGCTCATGTTAGTTAATGGTATGACATAAAATCACTTTACTGCCAGAAGTACCGACCTGTTAAATCCAAAAATAAACTACCATGTGTTTTTCGAATGTTAGCAATAAATTTTGCTCGTACGAAACAATTAAAGTGTTTAATGAGAACGTTCAAGCTCGCCTTGTCATCGACACGAGACTTGTTTTTACGGAAGAGACAACGACTAAAACAAAATTTACAAAAGAAACTTACATTTGAGTCAAAGAAGTTATATTAAATTTTTTCCTCTGGCAAAAAATTATCAAAGTGGAGAAGTCGACTCCGTGTACGGATCTTCGGATCACGCTTTTATTCGTGTCTTGTCAAATTTATTTGTTCTTAAACTTTAGGTAAAAGCGGAACGTCGAAAAAATAAATGGTATAATTTATGAGGCTTCAGGCGGAACCACTAGTATGGCATAATAATTCAGAATAACCCGGCGCATCCACCTTTTATTTAACTAAAAGATTTTTGCGAAATTTCGAGTTAGAGCGAACCATACATATTGACATTTAGATCGGATTCCCCAGAGGTTGTTAATTTTAATCCGTTTCATCCAATAATTAATGCAATAGTAAATAAAACTTGCCGGTCAATGGATCAACAAACACAATTATTCTAAAAGCAGAAATGTTGACTGAAACAAGCAACAATTTTGTGTTTACTATTAGAATACGGAAATACAGGTTTCTTATTTCCTTTGTGTGGGTGGGGTGAAAATTTCCCAAAATATCAAATCCACTAAACAACAAGAGTGGCATTAATTTAATTAAAATTGTGTGTCAGGAAAATAGAAAACGACAATTTTTAATATCCTCTCAAGGAGTCCTAAGAGAAATAAATTCTTTAACACCGAGACGACTCTTTAGATCAATATTTCTCTCCAGTTTTGTTTTATTTAAACTCGCAATGACAGTTTCATCGAACTCCGCTTTATGAAACTATAACGGCATTCCTCACCCCGTCTCGAATTCTTCCATTCAATCTAGCTTTATTAAAAATATCTCAATAACGTATCTATTGTTTCAGATGGGCGACTTGTCGAATCCCGAACTTAGGATATTAACTGATCAATTAGAAAAAATCCGTTATGGAGGTAAGTCGCACGATTACAATTTCTAAAGCTTGTTTATTTTCCACCTATCTTCCTCCATTACCCTCACAACATGAAAAACACTAAAAGAAATCGCTCTTTCAACTTTAGACCCGAGATGTTTCCTTCCGATTCCTTTCAGCACACACACAAAACCGCAAAATAAACCTCTTACAAATTCAAAACATTAATGTTGACATATAATTTGAATAAGGGCGAGCCCTCGCGTGAAAAAGCCACGCGCATGTAACACCCCCTATTCAAGCACCCTCGCTTTCTATGCCTATATCTTCTTCAACGAGGTGGTGGCGTGAGACCGAGCGGACCACGCCTCCTGGAGCGACAAACTGTGCAAAAATTTCACACAAGTAAAAAAACACGAATTTTGCTTTCATTTTCAATTTTACGGACGATTTTGTCGCTTCGTCAAAAAAAAATCTGCACAAATTTTGTAGTTGTGGCTGAAGCCACTTAAAGTAAAAGTGTGGTCAGTTCGGCAGCACTTCACCCCCGCCACATCTGTGAGGTTTAACCGCCCCTGTTACAATTTAAATCACTTTAATCACACTCAAGAATCCTCGTCTGATTTGCCTTTTCCTCAGGGGATGAAGTCGAAGTGAAGCGTCTTTCGGTGAGAGGTCTCCTTCCCGAAACCGACTACTACATGACGTACGACGGTTCCACAACTATGCCGGCCTGCCACGAGACCGTCACATGGTTGATCCTCAACAAGCCTATTTACATCACCAAGCAACAGGTATGTAGTGGTGTGACATTTAACACCCCCATAACGCCCCAACGACGGCGCAAATCTGTTTACTGCTGTGGACTGTCATACGCGGTTACTGGAGGGCTGCATGGGAAGAATGGAATTTTAATAAGTAGTAGACGCGGAACGAAAATAAGCCTATGAGGAATTTTAAACCCTTTGTAAACGTGGGTTTTATAGGGTTGTCTTGACAGATTTTGATATAATTTTCAGCTATCTCCGAATCAAAAATGTAATCGTATTATTTACTTCAAAATTAATATTTTACGTCACAAATATTTATCGAAACACAAAATCATATTTACTGTGCTTCATAGACAAGGGAAGTTCTGTATAACTAAATTTATAATTATTAGATATTCCACTAATTTTCAAATCAGAGTTCTTGTTACTTTCGGATGTATTTAAATAATTTAACACATTTCTATATTGGGAATTCAAGAAGGAGCAAATTACCAAGTTCTCAAAGTTACAATGAAGTTATTTCGTGATTGTAAAAGTCGGATCAATACTATAATTTTCCAAAATAAATTTCTCTCCAAGATTTTTTGTTGAAAACCATGGCCTGTGACGTTACCAACTGGGTACAACAGCGCTCTACTATATCCACACACGGACTTAAGGTCAATTATAATCTAGTTATAATTGTTTTTAAGATGGTAAAATGGATTTTTATATAAGCCAAATTATGTTTGAGATTCTTTTGTTGGAAATAGTCTGCATTTCGACACTGTGGGGTCAAATTCTACAATAACCTGAAATGTTTCATTAATTTAGAATTACACAACAAAATTATTAATAGAAATAAACGAACCTTTTTTATATATGATCGCAGTAATACATTGTTGCTTCAATCCATGAACCCCATCAGGTTATGGAGGCAACAAACAATCCGGTAAAGCTTCACGGAACGCTTGGATCCTTAAGTGAGATTTAAGATATACTTTCTTTACGTTGGAAATTAAATCATTGACTTTTCATATTGATTCCGCATAACTTCATTTTTAACTTTTTTTCTTAACATATATACTTTTCTTTCGTCAACATCATGCTTAAAAACATGCTTCACCTGGTAGTTTCTTGTCGAGAAATAAATATTTTGCAATTAAGCTCCGCCCCTCGGCTCACAACGAATAAGAAAATTCGTCACAATTGAGATGAGGGCGGGTGGGCGGGGTTTGTATTTTGCCTTTTTTTTCTTATATGTACGTAGTTTTCTATTCACGACAAGACACTGAAAACTTTTTAAAATGGTAAATTTGTGGAGAAGTGTGGGAGATAAAATTTACCATTTTAATAGTATATTACATACCGAGGCGGAAAGTATTCCATTACTGTCGAGAGAACTATAGTTTACCGAGAGGCGCAGCCTCGAGGTGAACTAGTTCTCGAGACATAGGAATGGTACTTTTGCCGAGGTTTGTATGCTATTTTATTCACAATCGTTTTAATTATAGTTTTAAAATAAAATAAAAATGTCCTAATTTAAAACTTTGATTTCTATTTAATATGAGTCACTCAGCAGGCGTTGGAAAATACAAAAATTGACATAACTTGACAGTCTTCACCATAAGCTCTCCTTATAGTTATTTATAATCGCTGATTTCCATCTATCATTAATTACACATACGTAACGTTTTAAGGTCGAAAGTGACATTCATTTCCATCTCTTGGGTGGAAAGTGACAGTTACTTTCAGCTCTTGGGTGGAAAGTGACAGATAAGTGACATATGTCACTTTCCACCCTTGAGATTGAAGTGAAGTATGTAATAGCTCACTTCCAAACTTTTAAAAAGTTTGAAAGTTTCACATTACTGACCGATTGTGAATAAACATGTTTTCAGTCTTTTGTTACCATGAGTATGTATATTAAGAAGAAGAAAAAATTCTAACTATAAACCCCCCCACCCGCCCTGTCTCAATTGTGGCGATATTTATTTATTCGTTGTGAGCAAGCAGACGGAGCTTAAGTGCAAAATTCTTATTTTTCTACGAGAAATTACCAAAATGATCGCAATAATATATTGCTGCTTCAATCCATGAACCCCACCTTGTCAGAACAGGTTCTGGAGGCAACAGACAATCCGGTAAGGCTTCACGGAAGGCTGGATCCTCAAATGAGCTTTAAGAAATATTTTCTTTACATTGGAAATTAAACCATTGACATCTTCAAATGGATTCCGGATAACTTCAGCTACTAACTTTAGACAACGAATGAAGAATTCATCACAATTGAGGTCTGGGTGGGCGGGTGGGGCTTATTTTTAACTTTTTTTTTAATATAATTGCAATTATTACCCCTAGATTCACGATGAATAAGAAAATTCATCACAATTAAGATGAGGGTGGGTGGGCGGGGTTTGAATATATGTTGCCTGTTTTTTTCTTATATGTACGTAATTTTTTATTCACGACAAGAAACTGAAAACTTGTTTAAAATGGTAAATTTGTAGAGAAGTATGGGAGACCAAATTTACCAATTTAAAAATGTTTTCAGTCTTTTGTTGTGAAGATTATGTACATTAAAAAGAAAAAAAAAGTCAAACCAAGTTAGTTCTCAAATTCAAATGATTAGACAATTATGGACGGAAAATGTAAATTTAAACAAAAATTTAATAGTCCTATTCAATTGATGATGAAATATTCGTCGGAATGATTGAATAGTCAAACGAGGTACTTACCGAAGTTCGACTCAAATTGTCCTAACAGCCTCGTCCGAAGAGATAACTTACAGGTAGTTCTCTTGGGCCCCAATTTTACCACAATGTTTAAAGAAGCGCAGTCGGTAGTCCGGTCCTGTAGTCCCCACTCCGCCGCACACATACTGCGTGGAGCGTCTCATGAGTCATTAGTTTAAAGTGACAAAGGACGATCGCAATAACATACATAGATAACGTGGGGTTTACAAAGTGAGTTCTGGGTTGGGTGGGAGTTATCTCTTCGGACGAGGCTGTTAGGACAATTTGAGTCGAACTTCGGTAAGTACCTCGTTTGACTATTCAATTGTCCAACACAGCCTCGTCCTCAAGATAACTTACAGGTAGTCGTTGAAAGACATTGCGATCGGAGGAAATGCAACAGATTTAATGTCTTTAGAAATAAAAGGGGACATTATATAATTGAAAGAACAGCCGCAGCAAACGTCGTGGATTGACCCAGTGGTCGATTATAAAATTTAGCAAAAACACCAGAGGCTTCTGACCAACCTACGGTTTTCTGGATGACGTCTACCGGAACCCCCTTCCGATGAGCAGCTGATGATGCCGCGTGGCGGGTGGAGTGGGCTGTATATTGCCCGATGTTAATTCTCGAATCTTGTAATATCCGTTGTACCCACTTGCTGATAGTTTGCTGGCGGCAGAGTACGGCGGCTTGGTGGTCAGAAGGAGTTGGTCTTCACCATTACGCATAGCCGCTGTATTTTGCAAGTATAATTGTAAAAAACTTGCAACGCACAAGTTGGGTTTATCCGGAAAGAAGGGGATGTACAAACATTTTTGTTCATTCGTACGAAAAAATGTCTTAGTTTCATCCACAATAACTACTTGAATCCGGTCGGTGATATGAATATTGGAGACACGAATTAGGCTAAGAGTTTGGAGGCGCTCGGCTGTTATTAATAAGAGCAGGGTGCATAGTTTCCGGGTAAGATTCCGCAAGGAAACGTTTCCCGGAGCAAACTCAGTTGTGTGGAGATAAGCTAGGACGATGGCAGGGTCCCAGGTGAATTTGTATTTTGGTTGCAGTGGTCGCAAACGCGTGATACCCTTCAAGAAGCGTCGAATATTTTCGTCGGCACCCACAGTATTTGCTAGGATAAGCGATAATGCAGATCTGTGGGAGTTAAAAGTCCCATAGGCCGCTGACTGAGTGTTGAAAATCTGTGTAAGGAAACGAAGAGCTTCTGTTGGCCCCGAAGAAAAAGGAGAGATCTTCTCTTCTGCACAAGATTGCCACCATTTGCGATACGTACTATTGTACTGCTTGATTGTAGAGGCATACAAAGACTTTAGGAGGATTGGGATCGACTCCGCGGTTATTCCTTTGAGGAGGAACGCTTTCCGGACAACTTGCAAGCAACTAGGGTAAGATTCGGTGATAAGCTGGAAAACACGGATATATTAATACCGCTTGTAATACATAAGGGATCTGAGATAAGCCGTCTTTGGAAGAGTGGAAACCAGCTTTGCACTGGCCAATGCGGTACCACTACAATGCCCTCAGCTTGGTCGGCAAGTATCTTATTTAAGACTCGAAGAACCATGCTAAATGGAGGGAAGGCGTAGAAGGATAGAGATTGTCATGATACCGTAAATGCGTCAACCGCAACGGGTGCAGGGTCAGGCTTCTAAGAATGTACTTGCTGCACTTTGTGTTTTCGTATATAGCAAATAAGTCTATGTCCGGAGTTCCAAAGTTCTGACATACGAGTTCAAAAGTTGATAGTGATAACGAAATGTCGCTTTCCGTTGGTAGTTTACGGGATTCTATATCTGTGACAACATTATCTAGGGAACTTATATACGCTGCGTATACAAAGAGATCACGAGTTTCGCACCAAGTCCAAATTTGACATGCTAAGTGACAGAGCTTAGGGCACTGAATACTGCCCATCCGGTCGATATACGAAAGGGCTGTGGTATTATCACACCTAATGAGAATGCTAATCGCAGCACGATCGGTAACAAAGAACTTTAAGGCGTAAAATATCGCCATCAATTCAAGGAAGTTAATATGTTCGGGTTTGTGGTGTAATGACCACCAACCATTAGTAGTCTGACCATTGCAGGTGGTCCCCCAACCCGTAAGAGAGCTATGGGTAAAAATTTCAAGATCGTAAGTGTCACTGCGTATATTATTGTCACCAGACCAAATATTGGATGACCACCAGGAGAAATCCTGCAAGGACAGAGACGAAATGCTCATCCGAGCGTCATAATTGTTATGGTGCATCTGAAGCGCTAAGAATTTATCTCCTTCTAATTGTT